TATGCACACCCATGTTCATTGCAGCTTTGTTCATAATAGCAAGGAGTTGGAAACAACCTAAGTGCCCATCAACAAACGATTGGATAGAAGAGCTGTGGTATAGTCACACAATGGAATACTATGCTGCATTGAAAAACAAGGAACTCATGCAATATTATTCAAAATTGGTGACCCTGGAGGACATTATGCTGAGTGAAGTATCTCAGTCACAAAAGGACAAATACTGCATGGTGCCACTCTTGTAAAACAGGACTGACATCGGAGTTGGGGGGAGACTGAGAAAGATGGGTTCAATAAGTATCCTGCATTGAAACAAATGAGGGAGAAAACTGCTCAAAAGGGATTTGTGATTAGGTATTTTTGTCATGACAGGTGTCTAGAACAAAGGCTACATGGTGGAGTGGACCTGGGGGGAGGGTTTGTAAAACAATGAAATAATTTTTCTTTTACTTTTCTAAGAGGGTAGTGTACTAGGGGGGAGGGTTGGGAGGGGAGAAAAATGCAATGATGAAAGAATGGAAATCCAAAGTCTCTGTAAATTTTTACTGAAATTAATATTAAATTTTAAAAAAGAAAGAATTCTTTTACTTTTTAAAAAATTTTTATTCTTTTTTTGTTTGTGTACCGTCAAGTCAGATCTGACTGGTACAGGAGGAGATTACCCCTCCTTCTCCAGCAGGGCATCTGGAAGATTTGAACTGCATGCCTCTGGAATTGCAGTGCAGCTTCTTGCCACTAGGCCAAGAGAGCTCCCCTCCTTTTACTTTTCAAAGAGAAGAGTGAACTAGGGGGTGGGGGGGAAGAGGTTGGGTAGAGAGAAAAGTACAAGAATGAATGAATGGAAATCCAAAGTCTTTGTAAACTTTCATTAAAATGCATTAAAAAAAAACCCCAAACTAAAAATAGAAACCAGAACTGCCACCCAAGCAGATACATCCACACCCATGTTTACTGAGGCTTTGTTTACAATAGCAAAGAGTTGGAAACAACCCAAGTGCCCATCAACAAAACAAATGTATAGAGAAGCTGTGGTATAGTCACATAATGAAATATATCATATTTCATATATATCATATATCCCTTTTTTTACAAAGTTAATTTCAATTAAAGTTTACAAAGACTTAGGGTTTCCAGTCATTCACTGTTGCACTTTTCTCCCTGCATATTCCCTCCTCCCCAATTAGATTTTCTCCTTTCATGTATCCCTTTTAAACAGTTCTCTCTCATCTGTTTCAATGCAGTCTACATCATTCATTCCCCTCCTTCTCCATCTTTCATCAACCCCAATGTCAGTTCCGTTTTACAAGAGTGGCCCTATGCAATATTTGTCCTTTTGTGACAGATAATTCACTAAGCATAATGTCCTTCAGGGTCACCCATTTTGTATATTTCATGAGTTCCTTGTTTTTCAATGACGCATAGTATTCCATTGTGTGAATATATGAGAGCTTCTCTATCCATTCGTTTGTTGATGGCACTTGGGTTGTTTCCAACTCTTTGCTATTGTGAACAAGGCAGCAATAAACATAGGTGTGCATATATCTGCTTAAGTGGCAGTTCTGTTTTCTTTAGGGTATAATCCTAGTAGTGAAATTGCTGGGTCAAATAGTATTTCTATTTGCAAACTTTTTGAGAAAGCCCCATACAGCCTTCCATAGTGGTTGCACCATTTTACATTCCCCCCAACAGTGAATAAGGGTTCCAATTTCTCTGCAACCTCACCAGCATTTGATGTTTGCTGTTCTGTTAAATTTTGCTATTCTTACTGAAGTGAGATGATATCATGTGGTTGTTTTGAATGCCCCATTCTTTGACATTTAGTCTAGTTTTCTACTGACTTGCTTGGCATACAGATTGAATAAATGTGGGGAAAGGATACAACCCTGACACAGTCTTCCTGATTTTAAACCGTGCAGTGTTCCCTTGTTCTGTTTGGACAACTGGTTCTTGGTTTATACGTAAGTTTTGCATTAGCAGTTAGATAGCTGTTCTGGAACTCTCATGGTCTTAACTGGTAATTAACTGTCTGCCTCTTAAGTGACAGAATATTCCTCTGTTCAGTGAATATAGATAGTTATGGGTTGGTCCTTGTTCAGCCCAGGAAGAAGCCAAAGGTAAAAAGGCAATTATGGTCCCTGTTCTCTTTGTGCTTACAGAATACGGGGGATGAGAGTGTCACAATACAGTGAAGTAAGTGCTGTGATGAAAGGAAGGCAACAGCCGTAGGAGTTCACAGCGTTCAGAAATGTTTTCTAGAGATTTGATAATGTGCTACATTGAAAGGATTGTTTCTGTGCAACAATGAAGGAATGAAAATCTAACTTCTCCATAGGCATTCATTAAAATAGCAATTAAAAGAAAATAAAATTTAAAAATATATTTATTTTCATGCTCGCTTCGGCAGCACATATACTAAAAAAAAACTGAAACGATACAGAGAAGATTAGCATGGCCCCTGCGCAAGGATGACACGCAAATTCGTGAAGCGTTCCATATAAAAAAAAATTTATTTTCATATTGCCTCTATATTTTGTTAATAGTCATATTTTAATTAACAAAATATTAAATTTGTTCTGAGTAGGAGGAGGTCAAAGGACTTCACCAAACTTCCAAATGAATTTCTATGATAGGAAATAAAGATGAAGAACCCCAGCTTTATCAGAACACATGTTGCACTAACTTTCCCCTGAGGGGTTCATGATGTTGAGTGTTGTGTCATCTTTCTGAACTGAGCCTATCACTTCATCTTGTGGTGCTTTTGAAGAGTGAAGATGACTTGGGACACCTCCTCCCAAAGTAAACAACTGTACTGACGGGATGTAAAGCAATGCCCCAGGGGTACAGTACACTTGCAGTCCTGTATGAGTCAGCAGGCTGACAGCTGGACAGAGCCACACACCCTCTGAAGATAGTGGCAGTTGGTCATTTCAGTCTGCTGAGATTAGTCCTGTAGCCTTGAAAGTGATGAGGTGGGACAGCTTGCCAAACAGGTACTTTCTAATTGAATAGCACCTACGTGTCCCAACTAGATGCTGTCCCAACTAGATCCTGTCCCTTGTCGAGTGTGAATTTGAACATGCATGAAAGTCAGCAGTTGGGAGGGCCAGAAGAAACTGAGAGACACAAAGCAAGTATTGGAGGCAGAGCGGTGATATGAAGAGTAGTGTGATATGGAGACCACCCAAGAGTGGCCATCTACCTCACTTCCTTGCAGAAGTCTGGCCCAGCACCCATGTAACTTCGGGGGGGGGGGGGTGTTGCTTCCTACCTCCTAGAAGAGCAGAGTTGTGGAGGACCATTTGTTCTTCACAGGGTTGCTATGAGTCACACTCCATTCCAAGGCACCTAAACACAATGAATCTCTTAGCTGTACATGCTAGAGACCCTAAAGAAGCAGGAAATTATGTATACCCATGTTATTCGGAGCTTTGTTCACAATAGCAAGGAGTTGGAAACAACCTAAGTGTCCATCAACAAACGAATGGGTAGAGAAGCTGTGGTATATTCACACAATGGAATACTATGCTGCATTGAAAAACAAGGAACTCATGCAATATTATTCAAAATGGATGAACCTAGAGGACATTATGCTGAGTGAAATATCTCAGTCACAAAAGGACAAATACTGCATGGTGCCACTGTTGTAAAATAGGAATGACATCGGAGTTGGGGAGAGACTGAGAAATATGGGTTCAATAATGTATACTGCATTGAAACAGATAAGGGAGAAAACTGTTTAAAAGGGATAATGTGATTAGGCATTTTTGTCATGACAGGAGTCCAGAGTGAAGACTGCATAGTGGAGTGGACTGAGGGGAGGGATTGTAAAACAATGAAAGAATTTTTCTTTTACTTTTCAAAGAGGGAAGTGTACTGGGGGGTGGGGAGGGTGGGGAGGGTAGAAAAGTGCAACAATGAATGAATGGAAATACAAAGTCTGTAAATTTTCATTGAAATTAATAAAAAAAAAAAAGCAGCAGCAGCAGGAACTTTCCTCTCAGCCTCTAAAATCTGATCTGATCTTCTCCTGGTCTAGCCCCAGGTCTCTGTGTCCTTGCAGGCCCCATGTCTTGCTGCAAGAACCAGTGCTGCCCACAGCAGAGAGAGTGGGTAGATGGCAGGCCAGCAGACATGAGGGGGAAGAGAGAAATGTCTGTCATTTCCTATCTGAAAGACAGCATGGGTAGAACTTCTTGACCTGGCTCATAGTTCCCCCTGGCCAGCCTCCTTCTCTCTTTGGGATCTGTATTTCCTTTAGAATTTAGACTCTCCTTTAGAATTCTTATGGATCAAACCTAGTAATATACTCTACGCTGAGAAACACCTGCAAATTCAATGACATCGTATTTAATTCTAACATGTTACCAGTTCCATGGAGTCAATTTTGACTCACAGTGGCCCCAAATGTGTTCAAGTAGAACTGTGGATGTGAATAGAACATAGGAGTTTCTAGGGGCTCATTTTACAGAACTAGAAGGCCAAGCCTTTCTCCCAAGGCATTTTGGATGGACAGGAACTCCAAATTTTCAGCAGCCAAGTGTTTGAACTAGCCAGAAACTCAAACATTTCAAATACGAGGAAATGTGGCTTAGAGAGAAGTCTGATGTCAGCAGTTGGAAAAGTGAGAGGTTCAAGCCTCTTGGTGGTGACTGTTGTTAAGTGCCATTGAGTCGAGTATGATTCACAGTGACTCGATGAACAATAGATCTGGGCCCCGACCTATCCTGTGCCATCCTCATCATTTCTGACATAGTTGAACCCATTGGTGCAGTCATTGTGTCAATCCATCTGATTGGGGGTCTTCTTCTCTTTCTTTTTACCTAGCCTTTTGGTAAGTCCTATAAAAAAGCTAGGATTTTAAAGCTTGGACTCACATACTTTGGGCATGTAGCTAAGAGGGACCTGTCCTTGAAGGAGGACATCAGACTCGGAAGGGTGGAGGGACAGTGCAGGTGAGGAAAACCCCAAATTAGATGGACTCTGATACAGTAACCGGGGTAATGGGGGTAGGTGTGTTGGAATCAGTGGGACTAACTTAGGATAGGGAAGGCTTCAGAGCGGCTGTGAGGTTTAGGGTTGCTCTTGAGTCGCAGGCAGCTCAACAGCACATAACAACATAAAAGCCCTGTACATCTGGCCTCCTCTCCATTCTCATTACTCATAGCTACCTACCACCAAACTGATAGTCTTTCAGTCCCCAAGTCCAGCCATGCCCTTTCATTTCCAAGTCTTTGCACCTGAAACCTTCCCTGATTAGAATTACCTATTACCCTGGTGCTATTCAACCTTTATGACTCAGTCCAGGTGTGTTTCACTGTCTCAGTGAGGCAGGAGCTGTATTTTGATTGGTTTTGTATTTCTAGCCTTTCACATAGAACTGGGAAACCAAAAACTTAGCTCACTGCTGCTGAGTTGGACCTGATTATCCAGCAGCTTTTCAGAGGCTGCAAACTGCACCAAGGAGATTGCCCCTCTTTTTTCCATAGATTGGCTGGTGGATTTGAAACTTTGCTTTGGCAGGCCACCAGTGTTCCCTACAGAGAGCTTCCCATAGGGCTTGTAAAGGTAGAAGACCCATAAACATGTACTTCTTGCCACTAAATGATTAGTGTTCACAAGCATGGTCAGCATTTGGAACCCTGAGAAATGGCCCTTCAAAGAGAATTTGTCCAGTTCTTGGGTAGGAAGTGGCTGACAACTAGAATCCCTGAAGGCACGAGTAGTCCCTTAGACTCCAGCGTCATTCCATTGGCACTCATGCGTTTATTGCTCAACAATACATAATAGATCTATTACGTTAAGCACATTAGGCCATCTGCTGGGGATTAAAGATGAATGAAGAAATTAACTGGGAAGGGATATTTGAGCTGAAACTTTAAGTATACCCTAAAATTCGCAAAAGAAAAACAATGGAGAAGTTAATCTGTTCTTTTTTGCAGGTGGGCCAGGCCCCACCGAGTCCCCAAAGGGAAGCTTTACAGGGATTAGACATCTAATCCAACGGGTGGGCCTGCCTCTCAGGAAATCCTAATCTGGAGTCACACCTGGCCCCATTGTTCTCTTAATTCTCTATAAGGGAATCGGTAATTACAAGTCTGGCTGCCAGTGCATTGCATTCGCAGCCTGGAGAGCCAGGGACCTAAATCACTAGGAGACTGTGTGTCTTCCTATCTCTCTCTGCCTCAAAATTTACGGTATTACTGGCATGAGATGGAAATCATTTGCGTTCCAAGATCGCCTTGAATAACTGATTAGAGAGCCAAAGCTTCCCTCACAGGCACTTTGAAACGATTCTCCAAAAAAAAAGAAACGATTCTCCGAGAATCCAGAACCTCTCTTGACTTAGGGACAGCTCCCTGCCTGAAAGGCCTAAGAAGATATTCTGCCTGGAAGGTGCGACTTCTTTAAAAGGAGGAGACTTGAGGGCGCAGGTCAGTGACTGCACAAATCCTAAACCCAACACCCAACGCCAAAGCGAGCCGACGCTCTCCTCCAGGGATTTCTGCAGGAGCAAACTTCCGCTGACAGTAGGACGGCTACTCAGGACGTAGGCGCTGATTGGTCGGAGAACATCGCGGGGCGGGGCCAAACCTTAAAGGACCCCGCGCTAAAGTGGACCGGAGGCCGCCTTGGCGACAGGGTGGAGGGGTGATGCCGCCTGTCTCCAAGTGGTCCTGCCTACGCCCCATGCAGGTTTCTTTTAAGCCTCTGTAGTGTCCATCCCCCTGCTCAGGCCTATGGAGCCCGCG